ACACACACACACACACACACACACACACACACACACACACACACACACACACACACACACACGCGCGCACACACACACACACACACATGAGATAATTGATTATTTTTAGCAGCAACGGGATGAAAACGAAACCGTTGTTTATCGACGGATTTCTGGGAGCGATCTATTTGCCAACTGTGCTAGACTACATAGTACATTTGCCTCTCAAAGGATGTACTGCTCTTTAGGGGGGGGGGAAACAAGGGAAAGAAAAATCAGACGTGTTGAGATGGCTCGGGAAATGATTGGCCGTAAAAAAGGATCGATTTCTGTCTCCATCTCTTTGCTCACAAGCTTTCATTCATTTCTAACATATCACGGGAACTTTGCCTTGGAGCATCTGTCCTCGCCGCGTGCATTGTCTACAAACCTCCCTGCTTTCAGAGCCCTGAGGGGACTTGAGGCTTAGAGTTGCCGAGGGAGGAAGGCACTCTTTTCCGTTAAATTTCGACGAGATTCGGAGTTGGGGTGGGTTGTGCTGTCCTGGATCTCTAGCAGGAAGGAGGGCTTGAGATTCGGCAGAAAAGTGATTCTCAAGGGGGATTGTTTGTTAAAATAGTTGGTTGGTAGTTCTGTTTTCTGGGTTTGATTTGGTTCCTCCTGAAGAATAGGGTATGGGGTAAGAAGTTTGGCTCTATTCTAAATCCCTTCTCTCTGACTAGTAAATTTGTGTAGCCGAAGCCAGGTAATGGCCCTGGTATTCTGAGAATGCTCAAAATTTTGCAAGGGAAGCTGGGCCCGGTTCTGAGTTTGTGCCGGAAGAAAGAGGGAACATATGTATTCAAGGGACGCTGAACCCAATTTCCAGCAGGTGTGGCTCCCCACCAATAGGTGGAGCTGGTTTAAAAAAAAAAAAAAAAAAAAAAAAAAAAGCATCCAGAGAGTCATGAATACGGTTGCAGCTTCTGAAGGGGATCATACTTCCTGTGAACTTCAACTTGTAGTATGAAATGTACAATCCCTACATACCAGGTCCCATGCAATCAAAGGGGTCCCTTTTCTTGGTTTCTTCTTGCCTCACTTCATCAGGTTGAGACTCATGATGAGGACGGAAGCTTCTGATGGGAATTGTGTTCCCCTTACTTACAGTTTCTGATGAATACTCCCAAGGACGAAGGTCCGATTCATTCTAGAAATTTGTAGCATGAAAGTGCCCTACAATGTCAGTTAACCTTTTTTTTTTTTTTTTTTTTTTTTCACCCCATTGCAGTCAGCGTAAACATGCACGGCACAAACCAACAGGACAGCTTGTAGGCCCTGCAATCCTTTTCCTTGGCCCACTGCCTTCCGCCCCCTTTGCTCTACCGAACCCCGCTTGGCTCCCGAATACACGGGCGCGTATTTTACTTTCAAGAAGGGAAAAGTACTGGTGGTTTAATCTCCTCCACCTTTTTTTTTCCGTCCAAGGGTCGAATTCTTTATGCACGTTTGGTTCATGGCAAAAGCACCGACGAATGACTGGAAAGTAATTGTGGTTCGGGCAGGTTGGATCCCCTCACCTACAGCAAACACTCCATCATGGCGTTACAATGGCAACAATTGAACAATCTTTTATAAGTCACTCATGGTCAAACTTTGTTTCAACCAATGTCCCGAGTCGGCCTCGGAGGTGCGAGCCTACCCTCACCTACGGCAAAATTAATGCTGCATGGTGTTACTCTTGGCCTCCTTTGCCGAAAGATAATTATTTATTTATTTATTTATTTATTTATTTATTTATTTATTCTTTTTTATTTTTTATTTTTTTTAACAACAGACACGGGCCCAGTGCCCAAAGCTTATTTAATCCAAAGAGAACAGAGGACGGGGTCCTCACAGTCTACCCGGGAAAGCAGAACATCTGGGAGCATTACCCAGTTTCGCTTACAGGGAGGAGCCCTGCAGGGGACCAATCTTCCGTGACAGCACCAGAACCACTGTGCATACCACCAAATGTGAAGTTACTAATTAAGATTGAAAAGGAAGCCGGGGTTCTCCCAGTCCACAAGGGGCAAAGGAGAAGGGATCAAACACTGACTGGGAGCCTTACCCAGGTTCGCTTTTTACAAAAACCCAAGGGGACCCGCTACTGCTCCTGCTGCTCCTAGCTTATAAAAAAACAAGAATAAATCCCCTAGCAATGACAGGACAAGAGGTAAGAAAAAAAAAAAAAAAAAA